TTTGGAAGCAGCTGGTTGGGGATTCTGCACCAGGCTGGCAATCAGGAGCACAGCAGAGCATGGGAAGGTAGGAGCTGCAAGAGCTAACTTAGATTATCTGGATCCAATGAATTATTTTAAATATGTCTCTGGGTGTGCCCATTTATTTTAAATGGTTGTCTTGCAGAACAGAAGGCATGCATGGGACACTGGCATGAAAAACACAACATCTGCACTGGAGCTGATGAAGCCTATTTGGAAACAGCTACATACCAATTTCATACCAATATTTGATGTTGTTGCCCACTTATAAGGTAGAGAGAAATTTTCTTTTTCTTGCTGTTGCACCCATTAGATTTCTCGTGAGCTTGTGACATTTAATTTCATGTGCATCTTTTATGTCATGACACAGGGACCCATGTGCCATTGAAAAACACAAACATACCTGAGCATCAGTCCTTGGAAAGTCTGGGAAAGTGGAATTAGAGCTGTTTCTAGCCATGCAGACTACCACAAACATGACAACCTTCCACTTCACACAGAGAGCTGAACTGAGTCAAAGACTTCAATCCTTTCCTTCAAAGGCAGTGTAAAGTTTCCAGATAGAAACACATTTCTGTTCCTCAAGGATACTGCTGCCCTGTGTGGGAGGAGTCCATTTTCCAGGCTTACTTGCAGGAGATGAAGGCAACTCACACTAGAACAAATCTCTATTTGAAACAGAGAGCTTAGCACATGCCTTCTAAATGTCCCCTAAACACACAGCAGCACGTACATTTTGAAAGTTCCAGAGTCCATCTGCTGTTGTAAGGAAATTTCCTCAACAGCAGCAAGTAACTGCAAAAGCAAAAGAGTTGTTAATTCTGCTGTGCATTTTGTTTTGAGGAGGTGCTCAATGTTCCTGTTGGTAAACACATTTCTGTGACTTGTGGGAAAGAACCTTCTGGTGAACCTTCATCTTGATAAAGATCTTCTTCTTCTTCTGCACTGACACAGGGTCACTCACACTGGACAGAAACACCCTGCCCAAGAGAAATGTAACATTGATGCACAAAATAATAAGGTTTTTCTTGTCTCTTCACAGCCATTCCTTGACATTATCACATGTATCATTATGAGTAACCACCACACTCTCTGTTAATTGGAAATAACCAGGAAGTTGTTCAGCCCCAAGGAACCAGTTCACATCCCCCTTGTGCTAAACAAGTATCCAAAAAAGGCCTAGCAGCTCCTTGCCAAAAACATCTGTAAGTTCAAAAGCAAATAATCTGAACCAAAATAATCAAGAAAATTAATGGAATAAAAATCTGCTTAGGACTATTAAACCCTGAGATAAATCTTTGAGTCAGAAGATCTCTGAACCACGCTTTTCAGATTGAAACTTTTACTTTCATTAACAAAGAAGAACACAAGAAGTAGTAGCTGTAATGTACATCTCTCCTGTACATGAAATAGGGATAAAAATAACATAAATAATGGCAGTCAATGAGAAACAGATTTTTCAGTCTTCTACATGCTAATGCAAACTAATAAAACTGTATTTGAAAAGCAGCAAGGTCCACACAGCAAAGTACAGCCAGGGAGTACCTGTGTAGTGTGCTAAGACATTTTATGCATTATTTGAAGGGAAAAGAAGTAACCCTTCATCTGCTTATGTGGTGACACACGAGTGTGGATGTGAGAGTGCTGAAGCTACAGACAAGCCTGAAGTTATGACAGTAGGAGAGGGACATAGCATGTCCTGAAAGAACATAACATCCAAGAATGATTGAAGCATATTGTGGGGGGAAAATGAATGAGAATAGGTGAAAGGAAATTTAGTGACTGCTGGACTAAAGAAAACATTGCTTTTGTGAAGGATAAAATTCTGATTTTTCTCCTCTGGATGTTGCTATTTGTTGCAGATGAGCGGGCCTCAATTAAAGGAACTGAGCTCTGTTTGGACAGGCTTGTCTGCTCACTACAACTTTCCTTCAGGATTAGACTCATTATTTGAATTTCCAGACCTTCAACAGTGCTATGTTCATAACATGTGAAAGAAAATTTAACTGATTCAATTGGGAAAATTCTCTTTATATCACTGAATTTTATGGACAAAAAGATCCTTGAAATGTATTTATCGTAATATGGCACAAGTAGAACAAAATTCCGCTGATCTTTACTGAGCTTTGGATCAGGGGCTTGTCAAAAAAAAAAAAAAGCGAGATTATCACACAAACATAATATTTAATCTCCAGATATTCTGTTTCAAACAGTGTAATTGAGTTCAATAGCTCCATGTTTGTTATTATGGCCTATGCATAGAGATTAGCATAAAGAAAACGATGGGGGGAAATGTCATACATACACCCACACACCTATGCAAATACAATTATAATTGCCTCTGTATTTCACAGTAAACCTTTTATGGGAATCACTACGCCTATTCTGTCTAAAATAAAATCTGTTAGGTAAAAATGTTTGTAGCAGAACTTTGTTTTGTTTAGCATTAAACAGCCATGTCCAGCTGGGATTGTTGATGGAGCCTTGCCTGTGCACACATACATGTCTGTGTTTATCTATATCACACAACAAAGCTGGCCTGCTAAGCCCAGCCTATGCTTCAGCCACATTAACAATTTCCCTAATCAGCATCCACTTGTTGCATTTCCTTTAGAAAGACCAAATCTCTCTGAAATGTATCAGAGGTTTCCTGGTATCCTGTCACCCAGCAGGCCTTTGAGCAGCACTGCAAATCCCTGGAGGAAATGAACTCCTTCCATCTTCTCTCTGTAGCTGCATGGAGCCTTGCACAGGGGGCTGGGGTTTATCTGGGGCCCCTGGGTATGACTGCCATACAAGTGGGAGCTAATTACAACAGAGCACCACAGATCCCTGAGATGCACTGGCTGTAAGGGAAAAAGAAACCTGGTCCATAATAATGAGGATGTTCCATGTCTGGTTGTATGTATAAATACAGTTGAAATGAGAGGGGTGGATGAAGAGCTTGGGTACATCTCAGCAATCTCAATCCGACTTTTCAGACAATGTCAGTATAAATAAATTATGGAGATTTGCGGAAAAGTTACAAGGATTTGAGATTCCCATTTAAGACAACTCACTGAAATGTACCTATGAACAGCCATTTTATTTTTCTTTTTTTCTTCCCTTTTTTGTAACCTTTCCTTTCCTTTCCTTTCCTTTCCTTTCCTTTCCTTTCCTTTCCTTTCCTTTCCTTTCCTTTCCTTTCCTTTCCTTTCCTTTCCTTTCCTTTCCTTTCCTTTCCTTTCCTTTCCTTTCCTTTCCTTTCCTTTCCTTTCCTTTCCTTTCCCCTCTCCTTTCCACCCTCCCCACCCCCCGTTCTTTTCTTGCCTCCCATGAATTTCCTGTTTATGGTGATTGGGCACATGGGCACTTGGTCCTTCCCTCCATTCCACCACCTTGGACAAAGATTGTGTCCCATGGGATGAGGGTGGGTGGTTTTTCCACCAGCAGAGGCAGGATGAGGCCCATGGAGCTGAGTTCTGCTTCTCCCTTCTGCTACCATCAGCCACAAGGCACAGGGCTGGCCCTGCCTGCTTCAGGTAGGTGGAATTCCCAGGCAGGCAGGGGACGAGGCAGGGAACAGCCAGCCCGGTGGATACACCGCCATTTGTGTGAAAAATTCTCAGGGAAAATTCTTTCTCTCCCTCTCAGGCCCCTAAACTCTTTGTGAATGGGGCCAGTGCAACATGTGGCCTTTCACCTCGCCCAAGAACCACTGCCAGACAGCCACACTCAGAGAATTGTTTGTTAATAGTCCAATTAGATAATTGCCATCTTTCACTCCTTTTGCTCTACGTTTCCCATAAAGGAATGAATAAGGAGAGAAGCATGAAGAGGGCTTCTGCCCTGCAAGGTGACAAGAAGGACTGGAGCATGCTCTTTGCACAAGGCCATTTGCTTGAATTGAATCATTGTAGCCTAATCAATGGTCTTATTGGATTACTGGCTGTTGCGGTTCTCAAAGATATTGTAGCAGAGACAATGAAATAGCTAGAGTAAAACTTTTTTCTCCTTTAGTGGATCACGCAGTTGAGATTTTTCACGGGCTATCTCTCCCTCTCTCTCTCTCTCTCTCTTTCCCTTCCTCCCTCCCTCCCTCTCTCTCTCCCTCTTTCTCCCCCTCTCTCTTTCTCCCCCCTCCTGGATCCACTGCACACAAAGCTGGCTTTTTTTTTTTTTTTTTTTTTTTCAATGAGCAGGCTCTGCGAATAGGTTCAGTGTTTGCGAAGGTGCAGAATTAGCAGACACACATGCATGCACACATACACACACACACAGAGGGAGAAGCACAAAAAGCAAGTATCGGGACTGAAATAAGGAGAGGTAGGAGTTTAAGATGGCTGTCTGTGGGGAGATGTGTTAACGAGGATTTCTGCTGGCCAAGATAACCTGCTTCCTTGGAGAGATCTGCTTGAAGGAAGAACTTTTTGGGTGTGTGCGTTCTGGGGATCTGTTTGTTTGTTTACAATTCAGGGGGCTTTTTTTTTTTTTTTTTTGCTTTTTCTGCACCCCCCCTGCAACTGCATTTTTTCAGCCTTTCCTAGCAGCTTTATTCAGATTTATTTGGCGTGCTTTGGAGAAAGCCACTATATAATCGGGAGGTCAAAGGCAGACTGAAGAAAGTTAATAATGGCTGCTAATGGTGCTAACAATTCAGGGTGAATCTTGTCAAAAGTTGTTTTTTTTTTTCCCTCTCCCCCACCCTTTTTTTCCTCTCTCCTTTTTTTTTTTTTTTTTTTTTTTTTTTTTTTTTTTTTTTTTTTTTTTTCTGGAAGTCTCAGTCTTTTGATTGTGTGTTTCCTGAAAGCAAGACCAATCATTTCAGTTTATTCACTGGCTAAACTCTACTTGATTGGGGACAAGCACACAAACCATCCATTACGATCTGATATATTATCCAAACAATTTAGTGTATTCATGAGGTAACCTAAATGTGGAGGCTGCAAAATTACCCGTAATCAATTGAAACAGCGAGTGCGCGTCCCTCTGTGTGTCTAACAACTACATGTCTCTGTAATAAGGCAGACATTAAATCATTTTAGAGTTGTACTGTTGAGTACCTGATCACTGGGCGCTCTGGGAAGCTGGACAGTCACATTAGGACGCTGGGACTGAGGAAGCCGCTGCTTTTCCAGTGGGATAAAACCCGATCTTCCTTACTCAAGGTGCTTTACAGATCCCCACCGATCTCACCCTAAGTCGTGCAATATCCAGCATAGACTTCGTCTTCTTCTTCTTCTTCTACTCTTCTATAATTTTTTTGTTATCGTTGTTGGCGCTTTTTTTTTTTTTTTTTGGTTTTTTTGTTTTGTTTTTATTGCACTACATGTTTGGGAAACAAGACAAAATGGACGTTAGATGCAGTTCAGAGACTGAAGCTAACCGGGTCTCGAAGAACGGACATAAAGAGGGCAAGGAAAGCAAAGGGTCTGAAGGAAATATTTCTACTTCTTTTTTGAAGGATCAGCAAGGGACTTTTTCTGCCTCTGCAGCTACGGAAGGTTGTAATAAAAGTAAATCTAGTTCGGCTGATCCGGACTATTGCAGGAGGATCCTAGTTAGAGGTATGAGTTTGAGGTGTTTGGCGAGGGTGGGGGAAGGTGAGCCGCGCTCACGCCCGGGAGATGGGTTGATTTTGTCGCTTTGCCTTGGGTCTGGCCCTGGCTCGAAAGCCCTTCCTACGGCTGCGGGGGAGAGACCCCGCTCCGGGCCGGGCTGCGCCCCGGACCCCGCTCCGCCGCCCTTTATCCCGGGGAATTGCCGCCGCCGTCTCGGCGCAAAGTTAAGCCGTGGTTGTTGCTCCCCGGCGCTGCCCCGGAACGGACCGGCCCCGCTCATTGTTGGTTTGTTTTTCCTTTCCTGCCCCGCAGCTTTCCCGGGGTGCCCGTCCCCGCGGGGAGCCCTCCGGGACCGCGTTCCCCCGGGGGCCGCGGCTCTGCCCCGCGGGCCGGGCGCGCTCCCTCCGCGCCCGCGCATCCCGCCCGCGGCCGGCCGCGCACCACGGCGTGGGGCTGCGGGCAGGAAGGCCCTCTCGGAGGGCAGAGGTTCCTTCGGTGCCCCCTCTCTCCGCGTCCGGCAGCCCGTAGGAAAGGGCTGGTTTAAAATAACCACCAGCCCTAAAATAAATGGAGGAATGACGAAGGGGTTTTTAATGATTACTTTTTAATAGTTACACGTTTAATTTCCTTCAATCTTCGTCCTTTCTCCAGGCTAAAATAGCGAAATCATCTTATTCTTACTCCCTCAAAAAAAAAAAAAAAAAAAAAAGAAAAAATTACCTGAAGAAATTTCAGTTTTATTAAGGTGCGTTTTGGGGAAGGAGGGAGAGAAGAGAATCGGAACAAAATATGTGGGAAGCAGGCCCTGAAAGCCAGAATTAATCCTTACGCCACTGGTTGACCCAGAGAAGGGTCAGATTAAAATGATGTGATTGTCTCTGATTTAAAACGTACCGAGGAGGTAAAATTACGGCAAGTAAAGTTGGGAAGGCTTTAAGGTAACCTGAATCTGGCTCTAGCTTGACAGTCGTGTTAATGAGATTTGTCCCGCTTTCCTTCAGTCGGGGCTACCAGAAAAGTGAGGTTTCTGCGGGCTGGTTGGTGCCTTGGTTTATTTCCCTCCCCCCCTCCTTTTTTTTTTTTTTTCCCCCTCCTGCTTCTCGTTGCCAAAACCCCAAAGCGGCAGCGGCAGCGGTGCAGGGTGGGCTGGAGGTGTCCCCACGTTCACAGTGGCAGGCAGCCAGGTCGAGGCACTGCTGCCTCCGAAAGCTTTTTTTTTTTTTTTTTTTTTTGGAAGCATGAGAAACTTGTTATTAAAAAAAAAAAATAAGAAGGATTTCTATTTTGGGGGGGCGGACGGAATGTGTATGGTGGCTACCAGCAAGTCCTAGCCCGGAGCCCAAGGGGAACAAAGAGTAGCCCTGCACTCCAGGCACAAAGCCTGGCCTGAAGGATCTCTCTCTCCCCAGCTTCCCAGAGGGGCCGTGGGTGATGCCGCAGTGTCGCACTGTGAGTGCAATATATTCAAAGTAATTTTTAAATGGGCTGAGGGGATTAATTATAGAGGCCTGGGCCCCCATCGCCCCCTCCTTCCTTCTCTGTTGTGGGTTTTTTCCTTCCGTGGGTGCAGTGGCCAGGTGCAGAGCCTCAGTCGCAGGGACCCTGCTCCATCCCGACTCGTGTCTCGGTTCTGAAGGCGCTGGGGACGGATCTTTCCCTTGGAAAAATTAGAAAGTATAAAAAGGAGGGGAAAAGCAGAGGAGGGTTGCCTGGGTCTGAAGCTGACTGCGCCTTTCTTTGCCAGATGCCAAAGGTTCAATCCGAGAGATTATTCTGCCTAAAGGGCTTGATCTGGACCGTCCCAAGCGGACCCGCACCTCCTTCACGGCCGAGCAGCTCTACCGCCTGGAGATGGAGTTTCAGCGCTGCCAGTACGTCGTGGGCCGGGAGCGCACTGAGCTCGCCCGCCAGCTCAATCTCTCCGAGACTCAGGTAGCGCCTGCAGGACGGGGAGCCCTGCCCTGCCCTGCCCTGCTCCGCGGGACCCCCTTCTCGGCCCGAGCAGCTCCTTCCCGGCCCGGGCAGCTCCGTGCCCTGCGGGCCCCAAGGACGCGGCCCTGCGCGCCTCCTGCGCCCCCAGCGCAGCCCCCGCGGGGCGAGGGGCGAGGCAGCCCCGAGGTGCCCACGCGTGTCCGGCCGGGATGGAGCTGAGGGGCTCGTGGCTGAGGAGTCCCGGCTGGGAACCCGTAACTGCGTGTGTCCCTAACTGCGTGTGTCCCTAATTGTGTGTGTCCCTAATTGCGTGTGTCCCTGAGTGTGTCCCTAACTGCGTGTCTCTAAACTGCGTGTGTCCCTAACTGCGTGTGTCCCTGTGTGTCCCTGTGTCCCTAACTGCGTGTCTCTAAACTACGTGTGTCCCTAACTGCGTGTGTCCCTGAGTGTGACCCTAACTGCGTGTGTCATGGGAAGGGGAGCTGCTGGCCAAGGGAGTCCCTCGTGTCCCCGCACCCAGCCCCACAGGGCTCTCCCCGCGGGCGAGGAGGCCCGAGGGCCTGGAGGGAGCTTGGCCACGAAGCCAAACTCCTGCCGGGCCGGGAGCGGCTGCCCCAGCTCCGGCCCGCGGGGATCCGGCCCCGCCAGGCTCGGTGTGCCCGGCTGCCCCAGCTCCGGCCCGCGGGGATCCGGCCCCGCCAGGCTCGGTGTGCCCGGCTGCCCCAGCTCCGGCCCGGCCAGGCTCGGTGTGCCCGGCTGCCCCAGCTCCGGCCCGCGGGGATCCGGCCCGGCCAGGCTCGGTGTGCCCGGCTGCCCCAGCTCCGGCCCGGCCAGGCTCGGTGTGCCCGGCTGCCCCAGCTCCGGCCCGGCCAGGCTCGGTGTGCCCGGCTGCCCCAGCTCCGGCCCGTGGGGATCCGGCCCGGCCAGGCTCGGTGTGCCCGGCTGCCCCAGCTCCGGCCCGGCCAGGCTCGGTGTGCCCGGCTGCGCCGAGCCGCCGCCCCCGGGCGCGGAGATTTCGCTGCTGCGGCCTGGGAGAAGCGAGAGGAGGCCGAGCCGCTCCCAGCCCCGGGATACAGGCGCTCAAAGTCGCAGGGGTAGACGGGAACCTTCCCCCAGGGCTGCCGGGCTGGAGATGTTCGGCCTGGGCTTTCCTGGGTATGAGAGATCCAGGGATGGGGCTGAAGTTTGGGCCGTATTTTGAATCCTTCTGTGTCCGAGGGGGAGAATCGCTCCTCCACCCTCCAGAGCAGAAAGGCCGGGGAACGACAGGAGGCCTAAAACTGTGTGAGAGCGCGGGGAAGCATCCAAAAAGTCCAAACTTCTTAAAGCCTGTTTCGTATTTCCACAAAACATCATATAACTAAATTCCCCTGACACGATAATTAGCTTTTTTCTTTCCTTGCCACATAGGAGTCACAAGTTCAACAGCTTGTAGGTTACAGAACCTGCCATGGGTGGGTTTTGTTGTGTTTTGGTTTGGTTTTGGTTTTGCTTGTTGTTTTTTGGGTGACTTCCAGAATTCCTTTTAAAAGTTGAATATTATTTAAAATTATTTGGGGGTAGAGAGAGAGCGTCCAGTTTGGAATACGGGGAAAGAAACTCATTGCTGCTGCTACCCCCAGGAAGGGCAGTCGGAGCGGGCAGCGGCTGCTGGGAGCCGCGGAGTGCCCGGGGCTCCGGCTGAGCCGGCTTAGAATAAAGCGGTGAGAAAGGGCTGGCTCCGTCTCCCGGAGAATTCCCGGCCTGTAGTAAACTAGGACGAAGTGAGAGGTCTGGTTAAAGATGCAGAACGAAAGGCCCCGGGGTCACCCCGAAACCGGGACCAGACAGAGGGTGCGGGGGGCTGTGTTCTGTGAGCGTGGCTTTGTGCGTTTTGGAAGCGCTCCCCGCTGCCAAGCGTCTGCGCCCCAGCCCTCCCCCGCAGCCTCCGGGGGGGCACCTGCCGGGGGGCACCGCTCCTCCCGCCCCGCTGACCCTGCCTCTCTCCCCGGCCCGCAGGTCAAGGTCTGGTTCCAGAACCGGCGCACCAAGCAGAAGAAGGACCAGGGCAAGGACTCCGAGCTGCGCTCGGTGGTGTCCGAGACCGCCGCCACCTGCAGCGTCCTGCGGCTGCTGGAGCAAGGCCGGCTGCTGTCTCCGCCGGGGCTGCCGGGCCTCCTGCCGCCCTGCGCCACGGGCGCGCTGGGCTCGGCGCTGCGCGGGCCCGGCCTGGCTGCAGCGGGAGGCGGCAGCGCGGCGGCGGCTCCGGGCGGCGGCGGCGGCTCCCCGCACCCTCCGGCCGCCAGCGGAGCCGCCGGGCCGCCCCCGCCCGCGGCGCTGCACGGGGCGGCGGCCGCGGGGCACGGGCTGTTCGGGCTGCCGGTGCCCGCGCTGCTGGGCTCCGTGGCCGGCCGCCTCTCCTCCGCGCCCCTGGCCGTGGCCGGCTCGCTGGCGGGCAACTTGCAGGAACTGTCGGCCCGCTACCTGAGCTCGTCCGCCTTCGAGCCCTACTCCCGGACCAACAATAAAGAGAGCGCTGAGAAAAAAGCACTGGACTGACTCTAAGTACCTTCCCCCTATTTATATTTATAGTCTCTATTTGTGGCGGTATTTATGGGACGGGCGGCGGCAGCCGTGCCCCCGCTCCCCGCCGCCCCCGAGCCCCGCGGCGCGGCTCCCTCCGCGGGCCGGGGCGGAGCGGGGCCCGCAGCCCGGGGCAGCCGAGGCGGCGGCCGGGGCCGGGGCCGGGGCCGGGGCCGGGGCCGGGGCGCGGCGAGGGGCTGCGGGCGCCTCCCGGTGCGCTCCCCCTGCGCCGCGGTCCGTCTGTCCGGGCGGGAGGGGCGATCGCGCTGCTCGTTCGTTCGGGAAGGGACGCAGAGGGTCAGCGGTCGGGCCGAGGGTCGGCCGGGCTCCCCTGTATCGGCTTTGGCCAATGCCGAGCGAGGGAGCGGGATTTCGGAGAGAGGAGGATGGAGCTGCCAGGTGATGCCCGTTTTGGGGTGGTTTTTTTGTGTCTCCCAGACTCAGTGATTTCGAAGCACAAAGGTTTTGGGGCCCCACCTGTGGCCCCCGTTTACCCCCACACTCGCTGCACTACAGCCCCGAGCGAGCCCTTAGCACCAGTCAGGAAATCCTCCAGCAACTTTTCTTTTTCACGGTAAATCTTGATTGTGGGAAGGGCCGAGACTGACTGAACGTACAGTCACGAATAGGGGAGACAGAAACCAGTGGCTGCAGAAATTTTGCATAAAATTGTCTCTTCCTTCGAGATAACACAACGTCCCCCCCTTTTTTTTTCTCCCTTTTTCCTTTTTTTTTTTTTTATTTGAATTCCGACGGGCCTGTCCTGCGCAGCTTATCTGCAAAAACAAGTCCACAGACAAATCATGGAACTCACAAATCTGTTTGTATCTAGATCTGTTGCGAGCGTAATTTTAATTTTTATTGCTCTATTTGATTTTTCCAAATAATTTCAATGTTCATCTAAACACAAAAAAACCCTGTAGCCTTCCTTCCTCCTAAAATAACCCTCTCGCATATCGCTCACACTTCATTTGAAACGAACGTAAAATATAAAAAGTGTATCTTTTATTGTTATTTTTGTACTTTAAAACACATCTATGTAACAAACTTTTTTTTTTTTTTCATAATTCTTACTGCTATTTTCTCCACAAACATATGTATTTCACCTTCTAGTATTCTGGATCAAATATTTTCTGTTCAATTTTGGTACTTGAATTTGCCACAAAAGGGACGCTGTACTTAGGTAGTTCTTTGGGGGAAAAAATTATTTACTTTGGTTTTAAGTTTCTTATCTTTCTTTGAACTTTAACACATGGCGTTTACAAACTGTATAAATACGTGCCACCAAACTGTAACCAAAAAAGAAAAAAAAAATTACAAAAAGTGGAATGGTTGCTGTAGAATATAGAATTAACTATAGAGCAGAACTGGACAGAAGGAGCTGGATGAAAAGAAAATAGTAATTTTATTGTAAATTATTTACGTCTGAAGTTTCTAGGCAACTAGTCGAAAAAATAATGAATGAATCGAGCGCTGAGCCCTTGCTACTAACTTTTGTTCTGAATGTTTTGGATATTTGGATGTTTTGTATTTATGTGGTGAGAGTGAAATATATTATATCTATATGATGACGGAATTAGGTGTATTTTCGTCTTATATTTGTAGCACCCAAATTGCCTTCATTTACACATGCACTGCAAAAAAAAAAAAAAAATCAACAAAAAAACCAACAAAACTCTATCCCTATTTAACCTGCCCGATTTTTCCTCTTTTTAAAATTCAATTTAATGTTTCATTTTGAGCGGGGGGCTGTGAGGTCCACTTCCTAGAGGGTGATTTTCCTCCTGGGGCAGTTTGGGGCATTCCCAGTCCCGTGCTCGGCTCCGACCCAGCCCTTGCCGCTCTCCCTGGCCCGCGGGGCCGATGCCCACTCATGCTCGTGCCCGTGTCCGTGCCCGAGGTGCTGTGGGTGCCCCGGAGGTGCCCACCCTGCCAGGTGCCCCCCTGTGCAGGGCACTGCTCACCTCCAGACCTGAGCACACATCCGTGCCTGTGTGACAACATGCAGGTGTGCAGGCACAGCTAAACACGCTGGCACGGCTTGTGTGCACAAACGCAGATATTTAGAGGGGTTTTCTGAGCAGCTCTTGCTTCCATTCTGATGGGCAGCCCAGCCCTGAGGGCTTTTACTGGGCAGGCAGTGCAGGTTTCCAGGAGCCCCCCAGTGCCCTGGCTCCCCAGGCCAAGCCACCTGGGCAGGGTGGCACCTGCTGTCCCCACGCCTTTGCCCTGCCCTCAGGTCCCTCTGTGGCCTCTGCTGAGCTCTACCATGAGCCTGTCCCAGCCAGGGCAGATGCACTGCTCCAGCTTAGGGGGGAAGGATGCAGTGCTGATGCTGATTTGGTTGGTTTTTTATGAAGAGTGTAGAAATGATGTGGGGAAGGGCAGCCGGGGTGAAGGAGGGGATTGCAGGTGACATTTGAAGAGGTGGCACTGAAACTGCTGGTCAAGACTGGAAAACTTCAAGGGGAGGGGAGGGAAAAGCGTTGTTAAAAAGGAAAGAGCTGAATGTGACAGAAGAGATCTGCCAGGGAGATCTGGAGGGAGAGGGTGGTTTTCAGTCTGTGCCTTGCTGGACTGCACAGCATCACCCACAGCCCCGCACAAAGAGGGGAGCCCTGGCCTGGGCTGCCCTTCCCAAGGAGGGAATTATCACCACCCAAACCCTCCCTGGGCTCCCCTGCCAAACGTGGCAGGAATTGTGTGATGAATTTGCCCTGTCTTGCAGCTGAGATGGGGCCATTTCAGTGCCCAAATTCGCTGCTGCGTTGTGAGCCATGGGAACAGCAGCACAAACGTGTTCTGACAGAGCTGGCTCAGGTGCCCCCATCTAAAAAGAGAATTCCCCTTCTCCTCTGTTTAACCAGAGACTGCAGGAGCATTCCTGTCCCCTCACACAGGTGCCACGAGGCTCTTTTTCCCTGGTTGCTGGCCTGATCTGCAGTCTCAGGCTGGAGCTGTGGTCACTGTAAGCTCTCTGCTCCCCTTGTAAGGCAGTTTAAGCCAGCACCAGGCTAAATTGCTGACACAATAGCTGAAGCCCTTATTTTACAGCTTTGCAGCCCTCAGTATACATGTGAAGAGTTAGACATTTTTATTCTTATTTCTATTATTATTAATTATTTCTGAATATTAAAAAAAAAAAGGGATGTGCCTTGAAGTGTGAAGGAGTGATTCAGGTGAAATAAATACTTCAGGAAATTTTAATTTCTTTTTTTTTTTTTCTTGTCCCCTTCAAATTCCACCTGTCCCACACCTGTATCAGGGGCTGCTTCTGGGCTGGGGTTGGAGCAAAAACCAGAGGCTCCCCAGCCCTGTGCAGGGCTGTCACAGTCCTGTTCCAGTCTCTGCTTGTGACTCAGGCCAAAACCCCAAAACCTTTAAAAATTTCAGCATCTCAGAAGCACGGGGTCCCTGAGAGCCAAAACACCCTGCTTTCTACAAAAGAGACATATAAAATATGTTCATCTGCATTTCTAAAAAAAAAAAAAAAATAAAAGGGAATACCACCTGTGTCATTGCATAGGAAAAGTTAAAAATCATTCATACACACATCTACATGTACAGTGAAGCTGAATATAAAAGCTGGTTTGGTTTTTGGTTGGTTGGTTTGGTGGTTTTTGTTTTGGTTTTTTTTCCAACTACACCAAAGCTGTTCTGAAGCTGTGTGCTGCCCAGAGACCCTACTTGCCTGTTTGCACTGAAATGCTGATTTTCATCCTACTGGAGCAATGAACACAAGCCACCTTCCTGAAGCTATTTGCTGCTGAAAGGTTTTGCTGCATTACTTGCTGTATTTTGATTTGTGGCCATCACTGGGGCATTAGAGCTCAATCAGAGAAATATTTGGCTTATGCAGAGGGAGCATGTGTGAGTGTGAGGGGCAGGAATATTCAGTAGGAAAGGAAATCAACCAAGTATAAATCTATATCTGGCATGAATTTTTAAAGGAAATTACAAAAGGATTTCTGTGGCAGGTGGGCTTCCCCAAACTTTCCCTTAGCAGCAGCTACACATAGGGCTTAGAGTGAGCAAGGATTTACAAAGATGGAGTGCAGCATGGGCTATTTAAATGTCTCCTGAACTCAAGGAATATTTTCACAGGTCCATGGAGAATATCTCTCTTCCTGTGGCTCTCAGGAAGGAAAAAGCTCCCAGGGTCAGCTCCAGAGCACCCAGGGAAAACACAGAACAATGTTACACATAGGGAAAAGAGGAATCAGTCTATTTAAAGGATTTTTTCAAAAGCATTTGCCCACCCACTTAACATAGACCTGCTTTTTTTGCTGCTCCTCCATGTCCCTCATGCCAGGGATTAGTGCAGGCTCTGACCACCCTGTCTCCATTTGCAATCCTGTCGTCAGCCCAAGGTACGTGACCTTGTGACACGTAAAAAAGCACACGAGGTCTCTGAGTAACTTCGGAGTATTTGATAACTTTTAAGGAAAGAAAAACACTTTTAAAGAATAACTCTTGAACAGAAGCAAGTCACAGCCACCAGCAAGTGTTTAACAAAATTACCAGGGAAGCTAAAATTAAATCAATGGATGTGATGCTGTCTATGCAACAGCCACAATACAACCTGTGACCCTGGACCACAGCTGTGGCCAAAGTGCTGGCTGGCAGGGGCTGACCTGGGACATTTCTGACTCAGGTGTAAGAACTCCCCAACAAGCACTTTACTCCCCGTCTTTCTGCTTCTAATAATTGCTGAGCAACTTAAGCACAGTATTTATTTATTATCTTTCTATATGTAGTTGTTAGTGCTCATGCTTCTCTTCATCTCTGTGTAAGTGACTGATTCTAGTTTATATATTGTCCTAAACTTTTCTAGTGGAGCTAGTTCCACAGTCAATCACACACAGAACAAAAATTATTACATTTTGTATATGTTTTTATATGTTTAGATGGTTTTTTTAATATGCCAACTTTTTGTTGACATGAATTGTCCCAAGTTCTGTCATTAGAAGTAGCAG